GTTTAATCTAAGCCATTCAGAAATTTTGACTAGTTCAATGTTCATATTGCTAAAAAGTGTAAAAATGTTATTATGAGAAAGAAATAGGTTAGAATCATCAGCAAACATAATTGTCATTAGGTTAGAAGCTTTTGGTAGATCATTAATATATATTAAAAATAGGAGAGGTCCTAATATGGATCCTTGAGGAACTCCACATGAAATATTTAACAAACTAGATGATACGTTATCATTCGCATAAACAAATTGTTTTCGATTATTTAGGTAACTTTTTAGCCAAATTAATATTTTTCCAGTAATTCCGTACCACTCCAACTTTTTAAAAAGAATTTCGTGATCTATAGTATCAATAGCTTTCGCCAAGTCAATGAAAACACCTAAAGTAAATTGAGAATTTTCAAATGAGTCAGATATATTTCTTGTAAATTGTAGAATGGCATGTTCAGTAGAATTGTTTTTTTGGAATCCATATTGATTGCTGCATAATAAATTGTTTAAAGTAAGATGACTATAAATTTTATTGTACAAAATTCTTTCTAAAACTTTAGAGAATACAGAAAGGAGTGAAATTGGACGATAGTTACTTATATTCTCAATGTCACCACTTTTTAATATTGGTATGACTTTTGCTAATTTTAGAGCATGTGGAAAAATTCCCTGTTTAATTGATATTGAAAAAATTTTAAAGAGTATATCTTTTAAAACATCAAATGAACTTATAATAATGTTGCCATTAATACCATCAGGGTCTACTGCTTTGTTAGATTTTAACATTTTAAAGGCATTTTCAAACTCTTCAAAAGATAATTCAAAAGAGTTCAAGTAAGAGTTTAGAGGGAAACGTAGATCATTCATTAAACCGTTAGCTATAGGAATTCTTTTTGCCAGATTTGGTCCTACAGACACAAAATATTTATTAAATTCTTCCGCAATTTGTCTTTTATCATATAAAAATTCATTATTATGTTTAACCGTGTTTGGCAAAAAGTGAGATGTACATTTTTTGCTGCCAGTAATTTCTCTTATTATAAACCAAGTGCGTTTAAAATTTAATTTATATATATTTAGTAAATTTAAATAATAATTTTTTTTTTGTTTTTTCTTGAGGCTTTCAAAAAGTTTAGCGTAATTTTTATATATAATTTTATTTTCATTTGTTTTAGATTTTAAGTAATTAATGTATAATTTTTGTTTAATTTTTGAAGACTTCCGCAAACCCTTTGTAATCCAAGGCGATTTAATACTTTTAGCTTTGAGATTTAAATTAACTTCAGGGAAATTAGTTTCATAAATATCATAGAAAGATTTAAAAAAGGAGTTATAAACTAAGTTTATATCATCAGAGGTGTTAATAATGCTCCAATCAATTAGAGATAATTGTTCCTTAAAAGATTTAAGGTTTTCATTTGTAAAAAATCGCTTTTTGAAAACTCGTTTTTCATTAGGAACTAATTTATTATCTATATTTATAGAAAAGAAAATAGGAAAATGATCAGATATGTCATTTTTAATTATGCCCTTTTTTAAGGATTCGTTAAAAACATCAGTGGTTAAAATATTATCAATTAAAGAGGCACTTGATTGAGTAATTCTTGTCGGTTTGCTAATCAAGGGAATCGCACCATTTTCAAAAATGCCATTATAAAACCTTTTAATGTTATTATTGACGTGGTATTGAAAACAATCTAAATTCAGATCACCCACTAAGTAGATAAATTTATTTTCGTGGTTACTTTTTTTAATAACGTCATTACATAAAAACGAATTAAAATTTTTAATTTCACCTGAAGGTGGGCGATAACAACAACTTAGAATTTTATTTTTTATTTTATTGGTTAAAATTTCAATCGTTAAAACCTCTTTATCAGCATCAGAGATGCTCATGTCATGCCGGGTAAAATATCGTAAGTTATTTTTAACATAAATAAGAACGCCTCCGCCACGCTTATTTGTTTTTCGTGCTAATGAAATTACATTAAAACCCGGCAGTTCAAAATTGGTAAAAAAATTTACGTCATCCGAACTGCACCATGTTTCTGTTAAGCAAATTATATTAAATAGATTACAAGTTTCTTCAATAAAATTACAAAAGATTTCAAAATTTTTTTTTAAACTGCGGATATTAATGTGAATTGTGTTAATATTATTTTGATCAAGAAATCCTTTAATTTCATGGGTATAAAAGTAGTTGCATTTATTTTGCAAAGCACCAGAATTAGAAAAATAATTAAGATCAGGATCAGATTCATCATCTAATAAGAAATCATTTGTTTGAAAAAAATTATAAAAACTAGACTCAAAATTTAAGGTTTCGTTAGAATCCATTTTATTTTTGTTTTTTCATAATCGAAATAAGATCAAAGAATTTCTTTTATAAATCCCGTGTGATTAATTTATTATATATAACTTTAGCGTACTTACCCTTTGCCCTTAAATCTTTTGCCTCATTCAGGAGTTTTTTTCGCAATTCCATCATCACTATAATCTTCATTTATGTAAACCTTTTGAGTCCACAATTTCATCGTCGTGTATTTTCTTAATATCGTGGCATTTAGTTTTATCAGTATTTAATTTGTTAATTTATTGGATTTAAATCAGTGGGATAAAAGTTTAAGTTCTTTATTTACGGTGGCAAAAAGTTCGCTAATGTGACTTTTAGAGATAAATAAATTACTACCATCAGCGAATATGATGCTCATCAGATTAGTTACTTTATTTATATCTTTTATATGAATTAAAAAAGGAGGGGTTCGAAGATTGAACTTTATGGAACTCCACAGGTCATACTTAAACAATTGTTGTGATAGTTGTCAATACGAACAACAAATTGTTTTCTGTTTGTTAAGTAACTTCTGAACCACTTTAACACTTGCTTATTTACTCCATAGTATTTCAGTTTTTCGAGTAGGAAGTGATGGTCAACCGTATCGAAGGCTGTCGATAAAAATACCTAATGTATATTTTGATTGTTCAAAAGAATTTGAAATTTCAACTAAAAATAGTTGCATGCTCTGTTGAGCTATCCTTTTTAAAACCAAATTAATTAACATAGAGTCAGTTATTTTTGTCAAAGTGTTTTTATATTTTCTGTTGCACTTAATTCTTATGAGAATTATGTGCAACAAAATATTAAACTGGATTTTTGAGAATACAGAGAGCACAGAGATTGGGCGATAATTAGTTATTCGGGATTGTTCACCCTCTTTATAGATAGATATAACTTTGACAATATTTAATTGTTCTGTAAAAATTCCTTGTTTAATAGAGGTAATAGAGGCATTGAAAACTTTAAAAATAACATCTTTAAGTTGCTCAAAGCAATCTATAATCACGTTTCCATTTATTTTGTCTGATCCACAATATTTTTTTTTTAAATAGATTTCAACGCCTTTTCAAGTTCATCAATTGATAAATCAGAGGATAGCTCATCAGAGAATATGAATCCAAAGGTAATAAGAAGTCACTAAATAAAGTTCTGGTAATAGGGACTTCTTTGATGGTTCAGGACTTATTTAAGTAAAAAATTTATTAAATTCATGCGATATAGCGTTTTGTTCAAATTTAACAATCAAATTTCAATTTGATTATTAAAAGATAGTTTTTGTTAACAGTAAAACTAATTCAAATCAACAAGTTTAACTTTATAGACAGTAGGGGAGACCGGGGCTAGTTTGCTGCAGGACTAAGTTTTATTTATAAAAGTCAAAAATTTTTATTTATATTTGTCACACTTTCAATGACTAATTTACACGAACAATAATGGATACGTAATTGGAAACATGAGTTAATTTGAGTATGCATTATGATTAGCTTTTGCTAATTTTGTCAAATTAGCAAAAAAAAAATTGTCATTAACTTGGAAACATTAAGTTTTTTTTTTTTAGTTTACATGTTTGCTTCAGGGGCGCCTATTTTCAGCATTGCCTCGGGCGCCCGAAATCCTAGCTACGCCACTGCACAGTGGGAACATTCAGTGGGAACTTTGTGCCATTATCAGTATTTTTTAACGGATTCTCGTTTTAGTCTAGATACAGTTTTAGTTTTTTTAACAGAAAAAAAAATAAAGAATTTTATTTCGAAAATTTAAAAAACATTATGTTCATAGGCCAAGTGAATAAAAAAAAAGACATTGCCTTTACTTAGTAATTGGTCAGCTTTACGTGAATAAAACATGACCAAATTTGGTTAGATTTTTTTTCTTGTAAAGCTAAGCAATTATTTGGCGTTTTTGAAGTAAACAAGCTGCTTTACGTGACTTTACGTGAATAGAAACTTGAGCAAATTCGCTAAACTTTTTACTTACGTAAAGCTATGGAATTACTCCAAAAATGCTGAGGGTAAGCAAATGTTTTTTTTTATTCACCCGGCCTCCAATGTAAGTATATAAAACAATAATTGCTGCTCGAATTTTAAAGAATTTTTAGAAGTTCGTGCACAAAACAATAAAACTGCAACTTAATGGTTTTTTTGTAATTAAATTCATTCATTCTACTTAACTCTACTCTATCTGATCTTAAAAGGTTTATAACAACGTGTAACAATTACAATAACTTAAACAGCATTAAACTCAATGCTGTCAAAATGGAAATTTTGCTTTCCGGAAAGCGACTAGTAACTAACTGCAAGATAACCCTAAAAACCATCAAATAATACCAAATGAAAAACTTAATCATCTGGGCTATATGTGGGATACAGAAAAATCCAATTTTGTCTCAATAAATAAATCAAATATTACCAGTAGGGTATCAAATTTCCAAACAACTGTTCAAACTCTGATTCGCACATCCATCATTAATTATCCAATTGTATAAATCTTCAGCAGTTCCAACGCTAACGCATGGTCTAGAACTCTGAGAAATAGAGACTTAAAATGCAAAGACTTTATAAAATTGGAAGAAATACAGTTAAATATTTCTTTAATGTATCCAAGCATAGCAAAAACTATATTAACTTTCTATATAGAGTTCGGGAAATATCAACGTACATACAACAATATAAAGTAAACCTATTTATCCGTCTATTTAATAATAAAGTAACTTTTAAAATTTTCAAAACTCTTCGCTACTCCACTGGAAATAATCAAACAATTCCTTCAATTAAGACACAAAAACATTTAAAAAGTTTTCAATTTTTGAACGACAAATTGGACATCTTTTGTTTCCGCCATTTGCAAGGTTATCTGAACACTGAAGACACATATAAAAGTGTCTACACGGCAGAACAACAACTTCTAAAGGAAGTGCAAGACATATCTTGCACAATGTCTCCATAGGCCTGGTCTCTTGTTGATGATCCTGAAAATTCTCTTGTGGATTTTCGTCCTAAAATTAAATTTCAAAAATGAAATTAGATAAAAGCATTTTAAAGGTATCTTATAATATAAAAATTATACTAGAAATTTTATGTTTTCGTCCAAAAACATTAATTTACTATAGTATAATAGTAATGTAGTCCAATCATTTTGACTGTTTTATTTACCTGCTCTTGTTCTGTATCTCCCTCTGGTGTGAGTTTGATGTCATTAAAGTAGAAAGCTGAAGCCTCAAGAAACTTTGTTGGAGTCTTTGTTGGAGTCCACTCTCCTGTGAAAAGCTTTTCTTCATAACTTTGTAATCTTTCAAAAGATCGAACTCTCTCTCTTCTTTGTCTTCTTCGAGGTTGATGACCATTCTGCAATTGGTTGAGTTCCAGTTCTGCATTCAAAATTATCTAAAAAGTTCATTAAAATTTTTTTCACAATAATAAATTTAATTCAAGTAAACAAAGATTGAGATTGTAAATGCAATAAAGATTACATATGTATCATCAAAATGTTATTAAGGGCAGATATGAGCAAATTGTCACAAATAAATCACACTTTCAAGCCGTTTCAAAATATGAACAAATGATTTGATTTGTAAAATACTTCTTGATACAAACTTAAGTAGTGCAATTGTGAAATTATGATATTTAATGCTAATTTATATGATGATTTGCACCTATCAGAAGAGACCCTAATGCCTTAATAGATTACAAAATAAATCAAGTTACTTTATTATGAGTTTAATCGACGGAATTTATCCTTTACAATATTCATTTAAATATGGCAATATCTGATGATATATATTGTCTAGAAACCTCCAGAAGCTAGGGTGAGCAGCCATGCATCTATTCATTTTTGAATGCAGTGATTCCGAGACATTGTTGGTTCTGAATTAAAGTCCATGCACAGAAAAAAAAGCTGGGGTTTGTGTTGTTATCCAATACTTCTCAAAGTAATACACAAACTTTCTCATTTTTTCACGAGTTTCAATATTTGCAAATCGGCTCATCTCTGTTTTGAGTAAATCTACTTCTGCTCTGATGAGAACACAAGGCAAGAGGCACATGGCAACGAATTTCCGGCCCCACCTCTTAATTGCAGAGTTGTTGATGTACTCAGATTGAAGACCAACAGCTTTGATTTTTCTTAAAATTGCCTGGCCGTAATGAAACCGGCAACCAGTCAATCTTATTTCAGGGAAGACAACCTTCAATGCACTGCCTATTGCTGCTTCATAGTCAGCCATAGAAATTCGTGGTTGAAAGTCACTTGAAAGTTCCTTAATTTTTCTAAATATACCAATATAAATACCTTCTTTTCTCCCAGTCATAAGTACATGAAACACAGGAAGGACAATGTCACAATGCATAATGGAGATATTTAGTAGTTGACATCCTTTGAAGATGCTAGGAAAACGCGAAATGTTGCATCAATGAAAATAAAAAAAATCACAAAAAGTCATCAATTTTGAGCTAAGTTACTGTGCTACCTGAGAGTATTTGTATGAAATACAATGAAAATAATTGTAGATCCTGAAAAAAATGAATAAGTTTGCAAGAGTATTGAAAAATATAACAAAAGCAGAATATTATGAGCAAGCTAAGATTAAAAGATGTTAAATAAATTTCTAAAAAAAAATTCACAAAAAGTCATCAATTTTGAGCTAAATTACTGTGCTACTTGAGAGTATTTGTAGTAGTGCTGATGAACAAAATAGTATGGCCAACTGGTCTTCAAATCTGACGATTCCTTTCAGAATATTGGTAAATGGATTTGGTTCAGATATTGCCAATACTGCTTCTTCTACGCTGTTGGAATTTGCACTGTACTGAGTTTTTCTTGCACCACGAAGTATCTGTTCACATTTTAAGTAGGATAAAGAATTTTTAACATTTTCAGGACAGTCTCGAATGATTTCCATGTAAATCTGGCGTAACGGAATTTGTGTAGTTGCAGCTTTGAGTCTCATTCTTTCCATCACTTCCAAATTGCTAAAATCTTCTGTTTTGGAATCACAAAAGTGGCCTCGCATTGTCTCAAGTAAATCACTTCCTTCGCGTATTTTTGCAGTTCCAACACACAGTTGATAGTTTTTGCACTTTAAATAAATGTAACCGTTGTGATTCTTATTTTTTACATAGCAATTATTCCTAGTTATGTAGAGGAATGAGTTTCTCCTTTTGCCTTCAACTTTTTGATACTCCATTCTGTTGTTATTATTCCACCAACTACGAGATGTTTTTGAAAACAAACAATGATATTTTTCAATTTATTATGTAAGACTGTATTCAAAACAGTAAGCGCATTAAACTTATATTACAAAAGCATTAAACTAAAAATATTTATAAACGCTAAATAAATTCTGTGCTACAACTTTCGGTTGTAAACCATTTTAATTTTTAAAAGTTAACATCTTAGATAAGTTTTTATATAATTAATTAAGTTAAAACATCTGTTATAGTGCGTAAACTTATCCGATATATTTCTTTATAATTAAATACAATATTTCTAGGGGTTACATATATACCCTCGTTATTCAAGTAATACAAAAAAAACCCGTTAAAAAAACAAATAATAAAACTTCAATGTAATGTGTTCTTGCGTCTTAAATAAGAAAAAAAGGGTTTCCAAAACGACGACGTGACGTATTTGCCGTCGTCTTCATTCAAACCACCTTCATTTAGAGAGCACTGGTGATACTGAATTTCCAAAGACTCTCTCACTTTTCTCTTAAAATAGTCTTCCTCTACTTTAACAGTATTGTTTTTATTCCAGCTAAAGGCACCATGGCAATTTTTAGAAAAGCCCCGCTACAGCTGAATTTTTCCATTTTCCCTCAAAAGTATGTTTTTGATGTTGGTAAATGCGATTTGAAACCTTGAGTTTTGTTTCACCTACATAAAGTTTTCCACACGAACACTCCAGTTTGTAGACTCCTGGATAAAAGTTGTTGCGAAGTCGAGGCTTGTTTTTTTGAGTTATTAATTGTTGAAGGTTTTTTGGTGATTTAAAAACTGGAGTATAGCCAGCATTTTTAAATATCTTTTTTAATCGATTACTTAATTTTGGCACCCATGGCAGAGAAATATAGTTAAGTTGTAGTTTTTTGATGTCATTGTTGTTGTTTTGTTGATTATTTTGCTTATTGTTTTTAATTTTTTCAACAATGTTTTGAAGTATTTTTTTTTTTCATAACCATTTTCTATAAACATTTCTGTAAGAAACTTTAATTCATGATTTATGTTTTCTTTACTGCATAATGCAAAAGCTCTTTGGATAAAACCTTTAAATACGCCATAAATTATTTTTGGATCGTGACAAGAATGCGGCTTTATTTGCACATTTGTTATTGCATCTTTGCGATAGATATTAAAAAGATATGTTCCAGATTTGTCTTTGTTATTGAGAGATCAAGAAAATTTATTGTGTGTGAGTCACTTTCTTTTTCAATTGTATATTTGACACTTGTGTGTTGGTTGTTTAACAAGTCAAGAAAACGTTCTGATTCTGCCTCATTATTAAAACGGGAATGGATATCGTTAACATACCTTTTGAATGATTTTACACGTATTTATGGTGTAAGATATTGTGCCTGTATTAAAGCTTTTTCTTCATAATGTTGCAGAAAACTCTCTGCCGTTACTGATAAACCTATAGGACCGGCATCTTTTAATGTATGTATATTGTTTTCATGTAAAAAATAACAATTTAATAAACACAAATCTAAAAGTATTTTTATTTCTGAAAACGATAATTTTGAATTAGAGACAGGACTATTACGGAGTTGTTCTAATAGAATATCGATTGATTCTTTAACTGGTATTGAAGGGTAAAGATTAATAATATCGAAGGAAACTTGAAGTTCACCAGGATCGATACACCATGTTTGAGCACATTCAACAAATTGTTTTGAACTTCGAAGTTTTGTTTTGTTTAGATTGGAGGTAAGTTGAATGAGATTAACTAAATATCCAATCTAATAGATGCTTTTAATAGATGCCCAGTAAGTGATTGTGGCGATCAATAAGCTGTATTACATGAAAAATGACAGCATGCGCTTTAGAAGTCATACTCTTGTTTGGAAGCTTGAGGTATGAATCCTTAAATTCTTCAATGAAGATGCAATGGTTGTCTTGAGGAACATTTCCAATGGAGGCGTGAACAACTGCATCAAATTTCCTGAATGTGCCAATGAATGGAAATGCTAAAAAGCAAGCATGTTTTTCCGCAAGTAATTGAAGCAAGTCATCATTTTGTAAAAGCTTTCTGCACTTATTGCCTGCAAATTGCCCTCAGTGAAAAGGTTGTTATTAAAAGTTTATCATTTTTGGCCACTCTGGTGCATTTTTCCATTGTAGACACAGACTCTTTGTGGTTAACAACACCAAAAAGCAATTGAAGTTCCATGGGTGGAATGAAGTTCAACACCAAAAAGCAAGCGAAGTTCCATGGGTGGAATGAAGAATGAAGGTGGAATGAAAAAATTAATATATCTGATTATTTATCTTTTGCAATTTATGGTATTCTTGTTGTAATAATGTGTTAACTTGTTTTTTCATATAACGAGTATTTGTAAATTTATATAATGAAAATTTGTTAAAAGTACTTTACGCTTACTATAGGGGCTTGATGACGAGACTTCTGTCTTCTACTTGCTCCTGTCGTTATTAATTTTTATTTAAATTTTATTGATGAAAATTGTTTATAAATGACGAATTATGTATACATATATATAAAAAAAGTCCAAAATGAGTGTTCTTTCAAGTAACTTAATAACTGACTTATGCAACACATTCTGAAAGGCACTGGCTTTTTTTTGATTGGGCACCTGCTGCTTTAAAGTCTGTATAATCAGTTTGAATGGATCTAAATGTTCGGAGCTCTGATAATGATTCTTTGACTCAATGTTACACCAGGTACAAGGGTGAACACTTGAGTGAGGGATGCTTACTTGGGTGAACGCTTGTTTCACATTTCAAGCTTTTAACTGATTGAAAAAGAAATCTTACATAATTATGTAAAAAAAATTTTTGAATCAGTGAAAAGCATGCTGAACAACGGTTCTCAACAACTGGCTGTTCTTTCGGCTGAAAGGTTGTGTTGTTTCAGTCGGCTGAGGACTTCAAACTTTTCCTACATAAAAAATCATGCAATCACACGATGATTCTCTTGTTGCAAGACGAATCTTTATGTTTTGGTAGTCAGACAACGAGGAAAGTTGAAATACTTCACCATTGTTTCTTTTTATAAGGCCAACTCGACAATTTTTGCAGATACTAATTGAGACTCTTCGATCTTCAAAGTTGATAGCTTGACCAAAAACTTCTTGACAGCGTTTAATCATAAAGTGAGTCAGTTGCCTGTTAGCTTTTAATAAACAGTATTTATTTTGTCATATATCATGAGT